AATGTGTTCTGTTGTACATGGGATTTTCAGAGGCCTGCTATTTCAGAAGTGGATGGCCAATCCTTCTTCCTAGTCTGTCTTAATGTGAATGTTCAGATTTAGAGAAGTATCAGACAGACCAGCAAGTTAAAGGTATATCCCTTATTGCGGCATTAACTTTAGTGTCAGTGTTGTCCCTGCCTTTCTCAAACGCGTCTTTACCCACTTATTTCCCTGCTCCACCATCCACCAGGATACCCATCCACTTCTACCCCCTCCCTTCACATCACATCTATCTCCCTTTGACCAGCCCTCCATGTAATAACTTATATGTGAGGCTTCCATGGCTTCTGTGATTCCAAACACACCAGCTGATGGTAGTTCCTTATGTTGGGATCAGTGTCTCTGAAGTTTAGTCATAATGTTTCCCGAGTAAAGGTGATGCATCCTGTACACAGTTTAAATCTACCAGATGCTCTGCTGGAGAAGGAGGAACAATCTCCTCCTGTACCAGTCAGATCCAGTTTGACAGTACACACACACACACACACATACGAAGACAAAGATAGATTCTCACCATGGGGCTTATTGGCAGCTTCATGATAGACAGAGAAGAGATTGAGATTGTTGATAACTTCAGCTTGCTTAGTACCCTAGTCAACACTCTTGGCACCAATAGTCAAGAAATCAAGAGACAAATTGCATTGGGAAAGTCTTCTACCAGCGATTTCTCTAGAGAACTGAAGAGCAACAATGTCAGTTTGGAGATTAAGGTGTGCCTAATTGAGGCCGTGGTCTTCACAATTACTTGATATATATCAGAGAGCTGGACAGTAACTAAGGATGATAGAAAAAGGATCAGTGCCTTTGAGTTGTGGTGCTGGAGAAGAGTGTTGAACATACCATGGACATTATGAATGGTGCAGAGATTGAGATTATTAACAATTTTAGTTTGCTTGGCTCTTCAATCAATACTCTTGGAACCAGCAGCCAAGAAATCAAGACAAAAATTGCATTGGGAAAGTAGGCTGTTAGGGACCTCTCCAGAATATTGAAAAGCAATGACATCAGTCTGGAGACTAAGGTGCGCCTGATCCACGCCATCCATAGTCCTCACAGTTGCTTGCTATGCGTCAGAGTGGAACAGTGACTAGGGATGATAGAAACAGAATGGATCCCTTTGAGCTGTGGTGCAGGAAAATAGTATTGAATATACCATGGACTGCTACGACAACAAATAGGTTTGTCCTGGTGAAGGTGAAACCAGGATGCTCCTTGGAGGCAAGTATTCTGAAACTTCATCTGACATATGTTGGGCATGTTAAGGGGGAATCAATCTCTGGAGGGAGACATCATGCTTAGGATGGTAGAGGGACAGTGCAGGAGAGGAAGACCCTCGATAAGATGGATTGATTCAGGCACTGCGACAATGGCCATAGGTTTGTCGGAGACCATAAGGTTGGCACAGGATAGAGCAGGGTTTAGGGCTCCTGTACAAAGGGTCATCGCAAGCGACTCAGTGACACATAACAAAACCATACTGATTTATTTACAAAGTTTGGCTGCATTGTTTTGTGTTTTTTTCACAAACGATCCTTCCCATTTCCTTCATACACACCCCCATCGAATTGTGCAACCCTATGATTAATACACCACCCCTCCCCGCCTATCCTCACTGCTCTGCTTCCACCCTCTCCACCCCTTGGATCCTCATGCTCATTCTACAATAATAGTATACAGTATTTGTCGTTGTGGAACTGAATAAGTTCACTCAGCATAATATTCTCAGTCCCTCTCAAGCTGGATAATAATTTACAAAATCATTGCTCCTGCATGCTGTGTAGTATTCCGTTGTATGAATGTACCACAACTTCTCAATCTGTTCATTTGTGGTTGACATTTATGCTGTTTCCATGCTCTTATGATGGTGAATAACACTGCTATGGACATTGGTGTACAAGTTTTTGTTTGAGCCTCAGTTCTCATTTTCTTGGGGTATATTCTAAGCAATGGATAGCTGGGTCATATGGAATTTCTATGATCAACTTTTGAGGAAGTGTCAGACTGCCTTCCAGAGTGGTTGTACCATTTGACAATCCCACCAGCAATTTATATAAGAGTTCCTATCTCACCACATCCCCTCCAACATTTATTACTTGCTGTTTAGTTAAACTTTGCAACTGCTACTGGAGTGAGATGGTATCTCATTGTGGTTTTGATTTGCATCTTCTAATTGCCAGTGATTTGGATCATTTCTTTGTGGGTGTGTGTTGGCCATTTGAATATCTTCCTCTATGACAATTCTTTCCATGTTTTTTACCCGTTATGTGATTGGATTATCGGACTTTTTCTTGTGGAGGTGCAGGAGTATTCTATCAACTTTCGTTAAGAGATTGTTGTCTGATATGAAATTGCTAAATGTTTGTTCCCCATTGGTAGGTTTTCTTTTCACCTTGTTGGAAAAAAGTTACTGATGCACACAGGTATTTAGTCTTTAGAAGGTCCTATTTCTCAGTTTTATCCTCTTCAGATTGTGCATTTCTGGCTGTATTTGGCAGTCTCTTTATAATGTAGACTAAGCTTTCTAAGCTTGATCCCATGTTTGTCTTTTGTGAACTTTATGGTTTGGGGCTTTACTCTCAAGTCTCTGATCCACCTTGAGATGATTTTTGTGTAGTCTAAGATGTAGATCCTGTTTCCGCTTTCTTCAGGTAGCAGTCCTGTTTTGCTGGCACCATTTGTTGAAGAGGTTGACGTTTTCCCATCTGATAGGTTTTATCCAACATCTATATGTTTTGCAAATGTTTTTCTTTGTTTAGCTTGGTTTTAGGGTTTTTTGTGGTTTTTAGGGTTTTTTTAATTATTATTCATTTTCATGAAAATTTACAGAGACTTTGGATTTCAATTCATTCATTGTTGCCCTTTTCTCCCTGCCCACCCCTCTCCCCCAGTTCTCTCTTCTCTTTGAAAAGTAAAAGAAAAATTCTTTCATTGTTGTACAATCCCTCCCCCGATGTCCACTCCACTGTGCAGCCTTCATTCTGGACTCCTGTCATGGCAATAATACCTACTCATATATCCCTTTTAAACACTTCTCTCCCTCATCTGTTTCAATGCAGTATACATAATTTGTCCCATCTTTCTCAGTCTCCCTCCAGCCCCGATGTCAGTCCTGATTTACAACAGTGGCATTATGCAGTATTTGTCCTTTTGAGACTGAGATATTTCACTCAGCATAATGTCCTCCAGGGTCACTGATTTTGTATAATATTTCATGAGTTCCTTGTTTTTCAATACAGTGTAGTATTCCATTGTGTGGATATACCAGAGCTTCTCTATCCATTCTTCTGTTGGTGGGCACTTGGGTTGTTTCCAGCTCTTTGCTATTGTGAACAAAGCTGCAGTAAACATGGATGTGCAGTGTTTTGAGTGTTTTTTTTTTGTTGTTGTTGTTGTTATTCATGTTCTTAGTGGCTTTTTCCAGTGCCGACATTTTCGGTTTTGAAGCGATATGGTTTATCATTGCTTTTCTTTTATGGGTGGTTTTTGGTGTGATAGCTGAGAAAGATTTTCTCCTGTATTTTTCCCCTAGCTGTTTTATTGCTTTAGGTCTACATTTAGTCTTATGGTCTATATGGAATTTTTGTGGATAGTGTGAGGCAAAGTCTGAATCAGCTCTGTGCGTGTATTTAGTTGTTTTGCCATAATTTGTTGGCCAGACTATCAAGACTTGTGCCAGCAGTTTCCTTTTAGTTGGGGCTTGTCAGCCTCTTCCCTCCCTGTGCTGTGGGTTGTATGCTCTTGGAGCCCAGAGATGAGGAGTTCCTATATTCCTCTCTCTCTACCTCACCCATTTTCATTTCCCTGCTTTTAGGAATCACCACCTTGTGTTGCTTATTGCCAGTAAAGAAATACTAATTCACTGTATTTTGTCTGCTTTCCCAGTTGATAAAGGCTCTAAGGCAAATCAGGTCCCCATTATTCCAAGCCTAGATGCAAAAATGGTCTCTCTTATGTCTGAGGTTTGTTTTATTTAAACAAACAAACAACCCAAGCATATTTTCCTTCTGCCTTTTATTTTTCTAATTTCCTAAAAATTAAAATGTTTCATTTCAATTTAAAAAAAATACACGTTCTTTTTAATTTAAAAAGCAGGGGCAGTACCATCCTAGGCATTAATCTCAGCAACCGACTGTCAACATTGCTCTGACTCACAAGGATAAAATATAGCGCTGATTTAGAAATGTGTTTTAATTATCAGTTCTTTACATTTTTTTCAAGAAAGTTTCTAGAGTGCATGGTTCTCTGATTGCAGACGATTGTGGAGAAATGTGACCGATTCTCTGAGGGAGTCTGAAATTGACAAAGCTACTGAGCACAAGCGCACGCTGGAAGAGCGCCAGAGGACAGAGGAGCGGCTTCGCGCAGAGACGGGCACGCCCTGGAAGACCAAGTATTTTATCAAAGAGGTGAGTGCTCTGCGTTCACATGCTGAAGCTCATCATCCACATAAGTGAGAATGTTGATTTAATAGCTTTTTAAAATTGCTTTCAATCCTAAATCTTCATTTCTAAGTCAGTTTAACTGAGATGACCTTTTTACAATTTTTCAAAGCAAAATGGCTTGTCAGCAGGGAAATGTGTGGTTTGTTGCTAGGTGCTGTCAATTAGACTATGACTCGTAGCAACCCCATAAATGATAGATCTGAACCTTGTCATGTCCTGTGCTGTCCTCACCATCTCTGATATGCTCAGGTCTGTTGTTATAGTTACCGTGTGAATTTATCGCATTCGCTGACTCTTTGCCTTTCCCAGCAGGCTATTTTTCTCTACACACTGCCTCTTGAACATGCTAAGGAGCACATCGGTTGCACTTCTTCCTGTTGTTTATTGCCGTCGAGTTGAGCATACTCATAGTAACCCTAAGCCTTTCTATAACTATCGTTGTTATCCAAGTTCATATGAGTTCCTAGAGGCATGTTGTTTAGGAAGTGGATGCCACTCCTGCTTCCAACAGACTTGTTTTCTTGGTAGGCCATGGGATAGTCTCTATGCTTCTCCAGCAACACAGTTTTAAGCCATTGATTCTTCTTCTGTCACTTTTATTCATTGTCTAAAATTTCAAATGCATGGAGGTTACATCTTTTTTTAAAAAAAAAAAACAAACCCAACAACAAAAATCCATAAATGGCGACTTGGCATAAGATCCTCACCTGACAGACTTCTCAGGAATCAGATTGCCTCAATCTGTAGGAAGAGTCTACAGAGTGAGAGAAGACCGACCACAAATGAAAATGCTCACATGATTTTTAAATTCTAATAGTAGAATTTAGAATTTACAGCCCTTTGTTCTGTGTCCATTTCCATAGGGCAAGTTTTAAGGGAGACATGAGAAACTTGATTGGCTGCATCCACAGAAGGTAGTGCAAGCACTAGAGTCTTTACATCATGTAAAGATGAAAGAATGAAGTGGATGTGTTTTGCCTAAAAAGAGGAAGTTGAGACCATTCATTATAACTTTCTTCTAATAGACATTGATTTACCATATAGTAATGTGCCCCTTTGCTATGCATCTGAGAGCTGGACAATGAATAGGGATGACAGAAAAATTGACATCTTTGAGTTGTGGTTTTGGAGAACAACCCTGAACATCCCATGGACTACCAAGAGAACAAACAAGTATGTCTTGGAGAGGGTGCAGCCAGAGTGAAGTGCTTGTGGAGGCAAAAATGATGAGGCTTCAACCTGTATACATTGAGCATGTTGTTAGGAGGGGCTATACCTTGGAGAGGGCTTGAGGCTGGGAAGGTAGAGGGTCAGTTTGCGAAGGAGAGGAAGACCATTGATTAGGTGGACTGACATATTGACTGCTGTAGTGGGTTCTAGTGGTCAGGAAGTATAAAGGTAATACAGTGTCACCGACCACCCGACTACGGTCGTGACAAGAAACTCAAGGGGTTTCTTGGTGAAGAGCAGGTGAGGGACGAAGTCGGCGAAAATGAGAGTCTGCACACTAGGATGATGTAGAGAGCTCTGATTTATTTTGCTAAAAGCTTGCTTTTTATACATTTAAACTTGTTTAAACTTGACTTATAGCCAACATTTTGTGATTACAAAGCTCACATAAGATTTTAACAAAAAGAAAAGTATTTTCTATTACTAAATAATAGCATCGGCTATTAAACATTCTTTGAACAAGAAACACAATGACCTTATGTTGGTCATCTGCTCGACAATGGTTAATGGTTTACATTTCACTTCCTTTCCTCTCCTACTTTGTGTCACTGTATTTTAGCCACCTTTGTTTTTGCCTTTGTACTCATATTTGTACTGTACTTAACGAATCTTAACATCTATTTTCTTACACTCTGGACCATTCCTATGTTTAACAATAGTTTTTGCAACTTGTCATAAGATTTTAATTTGTTTTTTGTTTGGCAATGTGCACTAAGGTGGACGACTTCCTTTAACTTGTTTTTACCAAGTTAATTTGTAATATTCAATTCTTTTTCCTTGGAATACAAAACGTCTGTATAAGGAAGAGGTACTGGTGTTGGAGTTGGCAGGACATATGGTCCTTTATAAGTACTTTCTTCCCACCACCTATTATTTATCTGGTAATATTTCCTATCTCTTAAAGAGACCTTTACTTTTAGAGAAGTTTGTCTTTTGAGTCTTTTCTTAAACCTCTCTGTTTTATTCTCATTAACTATGACTTTCTGCTGTTGAAACTAGTCTAAACTTTCTCCTAATATACAATTACATTGCTAAATATGAGTTGCAAGTATCACAAAAGAGGAATTAGATACATACTCAAAGATCATATTCAAAATTATACTTTTAAGAGCAATCTCAATTTCTTTTATATTTTCATCTTGTATGTTATCATTTCCAGGAACATCAAATGGTTCCTGATTAAAGACTTTAATTAAATCTTTATCCCAGTTCTGGTGAAGTTCCCCTGATTTTTCCCCAGAAACTCCCATTCTTATCCTAGAAGCAACTTAATTTCCAGAGGTTTCCCGGGATTACGAAGACCCATCTGTAACAAATATCCAGGCATCAGCCCACTCACAAGCACAGGGCTTGCAAGATTCCCTCTTATGCTATCCTTGAGGTCAGAGACCCCGTACAGGCACGGACGACCCATTTTGTCACACAGACGTCGTGGCCAGAGAGGACAGCGAGGCGGGTGTGGCAATACAGGATAGGACAGGGTTCAGATCTATTGTTCATAGGGTCTCTCTGAGTCATATTCAGCTTGATGGCAACTAACAACAACAAGGTGACCCCGGAGCCACAAGGGTTTGGCTCATGGCTGCTAACTGAAAGGTCAGAAGTTAGAACTCACTAGCCATTCCATGGAGACAGTGAACTAGTTTGGTTCTGTCTATGGTCAAAGCTCAAACTCATGGCCTTCCATTGAGTTCCAGCCCAGCAATACCACAGAGTTTCCAAGGTTGTAAACTGGAATGGAAAGAGACTGTCCATCTTTTTTCCTAGGAGCTGCTAATGAATTTGATCCCACAGCATTTGCATTAGCAGTGCTGCTATGGACTGCACCACTGAGTCTTAATGGTGATAGCCTGGAAAATCCTATCAGCAGTTCTTTGTCCTTAGAGTTCCTGTGAGTCAGAAGCAGCGAGATAGTAACAAGGTTCATTTCCTCTTTGGATAATAGACTACCAGGAAGCAAATTTGGGCTTAGCATAGCTGAATTATAAATAACCACAAACAATCAATAATAATAATACATTTTATAGTTAGGTATTACAAACAATCTCAAGAGCTATTAAAGTAGAGACCAGGGCATTTATAGATGATCTTTATTCAGATTTTCAAGTTGAACCAAATTACTTCTGATATCCTCTTTAAATGTCAAAATTGTTAAAAATTTTTGCTGCCATTAATTATTTCTGCTAGAATCTGGAGTAAGGTGTATGAATAATGGGCCTAAGCTGAATTAAAAGAAATTGTGTAGTCAGTAATCAAGTGTAGAGATAGCTGTCTGGCCAGCTGACTAGAAGAGATCCATATTTGTTTCCAGTGCCAAGAAAGGTGATCCAAGAGAATGTGGAAATTACAGAACAGTTTCATTAATATCATATGTAAGCAAAATCTCACTGAAGACTATTGAAAAATGACTAGAACAGTAATGGGGTCCAGGCTCGTTATATCGAACAGTTCCGAGAGAAGGGACGAGGATTAAATAAAGACACAGAGAGACTATTGCTGATGGTGAATAGCAAAGTTTATTATTGAACTCCTGTCTTAAATTCTTTTTGCAGTCAACAGAAAAACAACTCAGCCTCAAGGCCGACAATACATTTGTTTTGATTTTTGAGCCACCTGCTAGCAGGGCTTCCAAATAGCAAGCAAGGCCATCAGAACAGAGTCTTTGGGGAGGGACATACCATTCTGCACATCCTTGCTTGGCCTTGGGGTTCAAGGAACGGTTAAACTTGGTTTTGCACCCCTTCAAACATCTGCGTGTTTGAACCTGGCACAAAATGGCTACTTGCATAAAATGGCTGCAGTATGGCTTACTTTTTAACATCCTACTTCCTTGAGTTGTTTTCTGTCAAGCAGATACTATAGCCAAGATAGAGTTAGTCTTGCTGGTCTTTTGGTACAGGGCTAATCTTGCTTTACAAGTTAGCCAGGCCCCAACAGAACAGTTCATTACCAGAGAGCTGCCAGAGACTCAAGCTGGGTTTGAAAGAGGCCCTGTCATCTGCGATGTCACTGCTGATGCCAGATAGATTTTGACTTAAAGCAGAGAATACCAGAAGGATGTCTGTCTACATTTTATTGATTATGGAAAAGCATTTGACTGCATATGTATCACAACAAATAACGGCTAACATTAAGAAGAAATCAGAACACTTAATTGTACTCATTTGAAACCTAGATCAAGAGGCTGATGTCCAAACAGATCAAAAGAACACTACATTGTTTAAAATCAAGAAAGGTGTCCATCAGAGCATTATCCTTTCTCCATACCTATCCAATCTCTATGCTGAGCAGATATTTTGAGAGGGTAGACTTTACGAAGAATATGTGTGGCATCAGGATTGGAAGAAAACTCATTAACAATGTGTGTTATGCACATGATACAGCCTTGCTTGCTGAATGTGAGGAAGACTTCTGGACAATCAAAATACTCTGCTTCAGACTTAAGTGTATTCTATCTATCCTTGCTCTGCACTTTATTTCTGTAAAATGACTACACTAATCTTTCCCTGATGTATGACAGAAACTATGAAGATAATCTGTGCAGGCTTATTTTGAGCTTCTTAGATAAAAGTAACACAGTCCAAGGCAGTGGCATCCATATGTATCTTAAACAGGTTTGTTCTTGTGTCTGGTCCTGTTTATTTGCCCAGGATGAGTCACAGGTCTGGAGCAAAAGCCTATGCCTCCTGATCACTAGTTAAATTCCTCTTTTTATCACACTTTGAATGTGAACAGAGAGATGCAGACAGTGGTAGTAATGTATGAATGCAATATATGAATGAAAGTTGTAGCAGTATAAACCAATCTTTTCAGCCCAAGTGGTCTTAAATTGGTAGACTAGTGGATTGGAGATGCAGAATCAGATTTGAGCTCCCTTGGGTGGCAAGATGTAAGCAGAGCTGTCGTTGTGCCATGGCAGAGTGACACAGAGGTGGGCAAGAGCTGTGTGAGCATGTTACTCCCTAAGATCTTGGGGCAGCCAGGTGCTGTGTGCAAATGGACCATGACAAATACACAGCATGGATGATGAGGGTGACAGCCAACCTTGCTTCATCGGAACCATAAGAGTTATAACAGATTAGGAGCTGTGGGCATTGTGCATGACTCTTTACTAAAAAGGACTACATATTGGTGAAAAGTATCCATCACCTTGACTGTCCAGCTGAATGCTGCAGAATGTTGGACAGGCATATAGTAGGTATTTCATAAATACTGTTTTGAAAAAAAATATTGTTTAGCATAAGAAGGGCTTTTACACTCATTTGGTACTTGCATTATCACACTCTTACAAACTAGTTTGGAGTTAGGGTTAGCCAGAGACATGAAGAATAGATTGACTTTTATTATAAAAAGAAAAGTGACTCGAGCAAGCAAAGATGAACCAAATAAAAATTTTTCTGGTGCCATTCAATCACACATATATTGATTTGGAAAATATTTGCAGAATGAGCTCTCTAATTTATCTTTCTTTTTTGTTTCAGGGAGATGGTTGGGTTTACCACAAACCCCTTTGGAAAACAGTTTCAGCAGCACAAACAGCAGAGTGACACATGCTGTGTAGGACTTGACTGAGCGAGGTTCTCCTCTGCTAACCCTCTACCCTCCCAGAATGGAGTCATTGCAGTGTTTGACCTGCTTCTTGATTGCACAGACTAAAAGTAGCTAAAAACGAATGTACTTTCTAGGGCACTGCAGGCCTACAGCAAGACCAAAGTGTGGGCGGATCACAGTGGACCTCTCACCAACTCTTTCCATGTGAAGTGAGCAATATCATCTTAAAACCTTTTACCTGAATTACTAGGTGATTAATCTTTTCTCCAGTTCTTGCTCCTAAAGCTAAGTTTGAAGCCTACACAGGAGCAGCAGATACCCACAACAGAACACAGTGATTCTGAATTCTTTCTTTAAAGTAAAAAGTGAAGTCTTTCAGAGTTTGTACTTTGCTTTCTGTCAGTAACTGATGTATTCACTACTCTTATAAACAGACCAAGAGGAGGAGGAAGATGCTTCCGGAGTGGATTCAGCCATTGTGCCTGAGATCAGTGTTAAAAATCAACCAGGTTTAGTAACAGGCATTCTCTTCCTTCAAAAAGACAGTGTGCCTGGGTTTGAGGAACTTACCCACTACCCACCTCTGTTGGAACTCTTTTTAAAAGTCTATTTGTAAATTGATTAGAATGATAACTATGGAGAAATTTTTTCTTCTGAGAATTTTAATATACTTGAAAACAACATTGACTTGAAAAATTTCAGAACATTTTCAGTATCTAGTTTTATTAAATATCACACTTGAGAGACAATTTTTTAAAACGTGTTCATGTCAATATGATGAGGTCTAATAAGCCTTTCTCAAGAACTAAGGCATTAAAGAAAATAGCAAACAGTAAAAAAAAAAGAAAACTGTTACTTTTTCTCCTTACCTCCTTTTTTCTTTTTCCCCTTGTGTAAATTAATATCCAGTATTATGTGCTGTACCCTCTAGATACATATGCTTTCTTTTACCTCTGTTCACTCAAAATTTAAGTAACTATTCATATTTGTCAGTAATTCAGAATATATGTGACTGAGAGCACGTAAGGTATGGTTTTCTTTTCTTTCCACAGAAACTTTTAAAAGTTGAAAGAATGAGTATGAAATAAAAAGATATCAGGAAATTGTACTCAGGTACAACCCTTTTTTAAAAAAAATATTTCGTTGAGGTTGAAGAATTGCTGGCAATTACAAGAATAGTGCTGATTATGGCTTTCATCATTCATTCAAGTATTTATTAAGCACCTACTATGGTGCTCAGCATTTGTTACTACAAGCTACCTTAATTTTCCAAGAGTGGTGCCTTACTCTGTTTCTTCTAACGTGGTCTTCCAATCAGTGTGTGCAACATACCTGTTGTTCACCAGCCACGGTAAGTGGCTGTGTGTGATGCACCATAAGTTTAAGCTTTGTGCTCTGATAGATTGTGTTTTGTTAAAGGGTTTAATAGAATAAAAACAGCAAAACAATTTTTCAGCAAGTTGTAAATTACAAGAACAAGGATTGGTTTATGCACAACCATTTTAAATGATTTGTTTTTGCTGTGAAATGCACTGAAAAAATTCAAAATGAGTCATACGTAGTTCATGTGTTGGGAAAATTGAAAATTAATAAAACTAGAGAACAATAATGACTTTGTCTGTTTTATGAACGGAGGGAAACGAAGTTTATATTTAGTGGAGTTCCTGCTCTGTTCATTTGAGAGGCACATTGATCTTTCTCTTTAAAGCCTCATCTTCAGGAATCTCTAGCTTAGTAAATAAATGTAAGAAGAGTTTTTTAAAATGAAAATGATTCTGCCTATTTTATTATCTCTTAATCATACTGAAATATACAGGAGTGAGATGGGACATAAATATAAGATGAAACTAGAGATATTCTTGCTTGTTTCAACTATTTGAGTGCCAGTTTCTTTTGTTGTTGAAATATTTTAAGATTTATTAAAATAGTTTTAAAATTCTTTTTCCAGCAATACTATGATGAGTTAACGCAATGTTTTGAGTTAACTTTAATAGCACTAGAATAATGCTGCTTTCAGATTGTAGTTTTGGTTTGTTCCTCTCTCATTCACATCACTGTCAAGTCTCCTCACAGGAGAGAGACCCTAAGAGCGAGGAACAGCTTATTTCTGGAAGCTGAGCCACCTCTGCTTGACCAGAGTGAAAGGCGCTTCCCCCCCCCCCCTTTTTTTCTTTTTCTCCTGGTTTGTGGAAGGGGATGCATGTATGTTCTTAATCTATGCCTTGTTACTGTTTTTACTCTATGTTTCGTTTAACATTTGCCTTGTACTGTTTTGAAACCCTGCTTTGTTTTTAATCTATGCCTTGTTAGTGTTTTGCCAGAAAAGCAGTCTGTCTAGCACCTGTGTGTTTCACGTGTCCTTTTCCTTCTGGCTGTTAGGTTTTATGTAACAAGAAGACAAAGACTAGAAGGGACAAAAGGAAATATTTTAGCTTCATGTTTGGTCTTGCTTTTGGTGGTTTTTATTTTTTTAAAAAACAAAACAAAAAACAAAAAAAACCCCACAACCAGCCAAGGGAGCTCTGGTGGCCTAGTGGCCAGAAACTGCACTGCAGTCCCAGAGGTATGCGGTTCAACTCCATCAGACACTCTGCTGGAGAAGGAAGGGCAATCTCCTCCTGTGTCAGTCAGATCCGATTTGACGGTACTCACAAAAAAAATAATAAAATAAAATTTAAAAAAAAACAAAAACACTGGTGATACCTGCTGCCCTATATGTCTTTGAAACATTTGTATTTTTTAATGAAGAAAATTTTTATGCCTTTTGTTTTTCATTTAAATTAAGGTTTACAAAGAGATTGGATTCATTCATTCACTCGTTCATGCACATTTTTCTCCCCTTGTCTATTTCTTTCAGGGTGTCCTTCCTTTCACCCATTCCAGGGCAGTGTTCATTATCTGTCCATTCATTTCTCACTCTCTTCTTTCCCTGTTACAATCCTGTTATTAAAAGAATAAGTGCATGCTCTATTTACCCCTTTGTGACTGGGATATTTTACTCAACACAGTGCCTTCCAGACTGATCCATCTTGACTCATCCATGTTGTGTGGTATTTTACAAGTTCATTATTCTTTTTAATTTTTTAAATTTTATTTATTGTTGAACAGTCTCTCTTCCCTCCCCTCTCCTAACCTACCCCACAATACTCCCTTGTTACAGACTGTTCTCATGCATATAATGCATAATTATATACTCCTTTCAAATAGTCCTTCTGCTCATCTGTTCCATTGCAGTGTTCATTATCTGTCCACCCCTTCCCCATTCCCTCTCCAGTAACCCCATATCTGGTCTATTTTAGAACAGTGGTGCTATTCAGTATTTATCCTTTTGTGATGAAAATATTTCACTTAGCATAATGTCCTCAAGGCTCCCCATGTTGTGTAATGTTTTATTATTTCATTATTTTTCAGTGTTGCATAATATTCCATTGTGTGCCAGTACCATCATTTCCAAGTTATCCATTCAATTGTTAATGGACAGCTGGGCTGTTTCTATCTACTTGCTAAATAATACTGTGATAAACCCTTGTGTCACAGCTCTCATTTCTTTGAGGTATATTCCCAGTAGTGGAATAGCTGAGTCATACAGTATTTTTATTTCAACTTTTTGAGGAAGCATCAGACTGTCCTGCATAGTGGATGTATCATTTTATATTCTCACCAGCAACATATGAGAGTTCCAATTTTTCCACAACTCTGCCAACATTTTGTTGTTTGCGGCCCTGTTTAACTTTGCTATTGTTACTGGGGTGAGGTGCTATAGCTTATTGTTACTTTTATCTACATCTCTGGAATAGCTGGGGATTTTGAGCATTTTTTTTCATGTGTTTGCTGGCCATCTGATCTTCTTTGGTTAGGCTTCTCATCATCTCTTCTGCCCATTTTGTGACTGGGTTGTTTGTCTTTTTCTTGTTGCTGTGCTGAAATATTTGTATTTAAACCCCATCATCATGTTTCAATTATTACATTTCATTTCATCTTATAATAATTAAAATTAATTACAGTTCCATCAGTCAGTAGAACATTCAATTCCACTTAATTACAAACCATTATTAAATAGGATCATTTTAATTTGTGTATTGGGTGTATTGTATCACCAAATTCTGCATCTTATTTCCTCTAACGTCTAATTGTCACCAGAAAGAATAGTAGCATTTGTTGTTGTTGTTATGTGCTGTCGAGTCGCCTCTGATTCATTGTGTTTGTCCTTCATAATATGTTACTAGGACTTACATGTTTCACTATAAATGTATGGTACTTGATGAATTTTTTGAACAATTTGCCAATTAATTATGTAACTACGGAACTTTGTTGAAATATATTTATTGTCTTAAAATAGGGACTACTGTTCTATGTGTTTCCCTAGAGAAAGGCAAATTGGCGTGAGTGCCCAAAGATCCCACTTTGAGGGACCCATCATAGCCAGTGCAGTGACTGGCAGCTGATTGGTGATTTGCTGGATGTAGTGGGAGAGGGAGTAGAAGATGATCTAATGTGATGAGGCTAAAAAAGACAAACTACATAGAGCTGAAAACTTTACAAAGATTCCAGCATGTCCCAGTACTACAAAAACCCCCACTTGATCCCCAAACAAAGCTACATAGGAGTATTACAAAACATTTCAATAGGTTTTCAATTGATGTGTAAAACAATCCTGTGAAATCAGAAAGCTGAAGTCACTGTTAAAACTTAGAGATTCAGGGGAGCTCTGGTGGCCTAGTGGCAAGAAGTTGCAACTACAATCCCAGAGGTGCACGGTTCGAATCCACCAGATGCTCTGCCGGGAAAGGAGGAGCAATCTCCTCCTGTACCAGTCAGATCTGATTTGACGGTACACTCACACAAAAATAATAAAATAAAAAAATATTTAAAAAAAAACAAAACAACTTAGAGATTCGAGCTCTGGTGGCCTAGTGGCAAGAAGCTGCACTGCAATCCCAGAGGCACACAGTTCAAATCCACCAGATGCTCTGCTGGAAAAGGAGGGACAATCTAC